TGGGGTGTCTGGATTCTCAACCTCCTCATGAACTTTTCCAGAAGCAGACAACAAAAGGATATAATGTTCAAGTCTTCAATGTCCCTCAGTTTCATCTTTTCAGTTAAGGTGTCTCTGGGGTTGGTCTGTCAAGGACTCTGCACCCAACACCAATGGTGGAACTTTGGACACATTCTTTAAAAGGGGGCAGTATGAGTACCCGCCTCTGATTGCACACGGTAAGGACTTCATAAACTGGCTATTGTGGTATTAGTGTTGGAATCAGTAGGATTAAGTTTGAGAAAGAACTGCAAAAAAAAAAAAAAAAAAAGTAATAAGGATCTCTGTTACCTAAAGTATCTTTTTAGAAACTAAACAGCAATTTGAAGAAAGATAAATAAATCTGCCAATGCACTGGCCTGCAAAGGGCACGGCTGAGTGTTGACTGTGTAAGACAATCACCCCAAACAGTGCTTCTGAATGTCACCACCTCAAACACCCAGAGGTGCACCCCCAGCAGCAGGCCCAGTGCCGGCAGGTGGCTGACTTCCAGGCTCTGACATTTCATCTGAGCTGGACTCCTCAGACCATAAGAGAAGTGAGTCAATGGCTTAGTCACTGTTGGCAGGTAGCAGGGGTTGGATTAGGAGAGGCATTGAACTCAGAGGCAGAGTCTTGTCGGGAAAGACCACGACTATTCCGTCTCCCCTTGGTTACTCCAGAGATGCCCCAGTTCAGGGAGGGCCGGCAGGGGAAGGGGGAGTCTGAATAAAATCAATCCTGTGTTTAAGGGAATCGTAACTAAGGGTTTCTCTCCAAACCCCAGTAGAAAGAACGCAGACTCCAAGGTCAAAACAGAGCTCAATGCCAGGCCCTTGTTCAGCCAAGAACTGTGTCCTTGGGGCAAGTCACCTCACACATCTGGGCCTCACTGTAAAATGGTGCAATCAGGTATCGACCTAGCAGGCCGACATGCACCCAGGGAGAGCTGGGACAGTCGAGCTCTTTCCCGACAAGACTCATCCTCTGAGTTCAATTCCTCTCCTAACAAGGGGTCTTCAACTTTGGTTAAGATGCTCTTCAGGATTTTACCAGTCTTCTGATAGCAACATCGATAGTGGAGTGTCAGATATTCTATCTGCAAATGACTTTAGATTTAAAAGCTGCCATAGAAGGATAGCTCGTGGGGAATTAACTTAGAGATTACATGTGACAGTATCCAGTGTTTCTGAGCACTTGCTGGAAGCCAGGCCCTGTGGTGAGCACTACGCATGCTTGGCCTCATATATTCCTCATCATAATCATAAACGATGATTATGAAGCCCATTTTACCAGGGAGGGAACTGAGGATCAGTGAAATTAAGCAACTTCTCATTTCCACAGCACAGAACTGGCTTTATGGCATGAGACAGTGATAGTTGCATTTTGTCAGCAGAAAGAGGTGGGAAGTAATAGGGCGATATGGGAGCCAATGGGGGGCAGGAGGAGTCCTGGTTTCCTAGGTAGGAGGAGAGAAAGATGCTGCCACTTCAGGGTGGTGGGGAAAGACCAGTGTCTAGATTTGAAATATTTTCCTAGGTCAGTCCTGCCCAGGGTCACATGATGTAGATACTTTGTGTATCTATCGCCAGTGTCCACCAGAGGTATGTTCACATCGGTGGGTTCAAAGCTTTCTCCTCCCTACCTTTTCACGCCGACCATTAAATGCTTCTCCTTGAGCTCTCATTTGTATCTCTCACTGTGTGACTCAGACAAATGACTTAACCTCTCTGAGCATCGGTGCTCCCATTCACAGTATAGAGATAATAGCGGTGGCGACTTCCTCCGGGTATTGCTCAGATTCAGTGTATCATGCATATAAGGTGCTTGGCATGTAAAGCAATTGTGTGTGTGTGCATGTGCATGTGTGCACTGTGTCTGTCTGCCTCTCTTCTAGAAATAATATTAACTCCTTTGGTGGCAGGAGAACTGACTAAAATGGCATATTTCCAGTCATACAGCAACTTGCCCAGTTGACAATATTCCAAGAATCTTGCTGGTGTTATTTCGAGCTGCCCACCATCAGCATTGAAGGGGGTTGAGGAGACCCCCCAGTTTGACCTCTGCTCTGCCTCCTGGCTGGGCAATTTTGGTCAGACTCACCTTTCTCTGCCTAGTTCTTCATGATAGATACCGATGCTTACTATGAAGGATATTTTTTAAGCATTAGGTAGAGTATAAATGGTAATAAGCTTTTTAAACAGTGTATAATTGGAGTTGTAGGGGCACATGTGCTTTCTACTTCTTATTTGCAGATTTTGCTCCTCTAGTCCCTCAGGTCCCAACATAAAAAAGGGCACATAGTAGGTACTCAATAAATGCTGAACTCAGTGAAAAAACAAAGATATTAATGAGTGGCTGAATGCCTGGGACTTCTAAAATATCCAGAACTGAGTGGGGAGTTGGGGAGGGTATTTGTCTTTGATGCAAATTTCTCTTGGAATAATTATCTACATAATCCACTAGCCTGGAGCCTCAAGTCTGATTTTCGATAATAATGATGAGGACTTTTCAAACCCTTTCCGATAAGCATAACAATAATAATAATTGAATGCTTTACTTTCAAAATGCCTTTACACAGGTCATTGCATTTTATTCTGTCAGCATCCTTAGAAAAGTAAGACTTATTGTTTTCATTTTGTAAATGGAAAAACAAACTGAGGCCAAAAGAGGAATTGCAGTTTTCCTAACTCTGCAAGCCCATGACCTCTGGAATTTCTAGGAGAAGCTTGATTTCTATTATTCTTTCCCTCCTCAGAAATCTAGGTGTCTTGATTTAGAGATTTGGAAAAAAACCGTCATTTCTATTATCCCACAGAGATGCTTCCAGATTGGACACTCACAACTCACTCACTGAAGGGCATCCTCACCTATGCAATTGTCTAGTCTGGAAATTTCGATGTTGTCTGGAGTTCGTCCATCTCTCTCATGTTCCTCCTCCCTATATCCCACCCACTTGCCTCTCAGGCACACACATACACAACCCAGGCAGCAACTTTTGTCCATTTCCCCTCTAAAGCATTTCTAGAACTTGCTTACCTGTCTCCACTACTCCCTCAGAAGACCAGGCCACCATCACCTCTCAGCTGGATGACTTTGATACTTCTGAATGACCACGTTGCCTCTACCACAGCCCCTCCAGCCATTCCCCACAGCCTAGTGAGCTTTTAAACATATAAATTCATTTTTACAGCCATAGGCTAGAACCCCAGCTCTCAGCATGACCCATGTGACCCTTCAGAATCTGCCCTCTACCCTCCGCTCTCACTACCTCCACCACGTTCCCACCAGAAGAAAAGGCTCATGTTCCCACCAGAAAGAAGGCCTTGGAATCCTTAGTGTGCTCCCTGCTCTCTGGCCTCTGGCACTTCACATTCATTGTCCCCTCCTGTGGGACCTCTCCGTTCTCCAAGTCTTGACCTAGACATCCCAGCCTCTAGGACACCCCTCTTGTTCTTGTAATCCCCTTATCACCCAGAACCAATATACTTGGTCACTTGTGTGATCCCATTCCCAGCCGTGAGAGCTAAGCAAGGTCGTACTGCGCCCTCGTTTCCCAGTGACTTCCGCTCCTGTCCGCAGTCCTCCAAATACTCTTTGAATGCCAGGCTCCCCCATATTGTCTAACAGGAAACTCAAGCTCATTTGTTTTCACATTTAAAAAGCCACACTTGCAAATATAGATGGAATTGTTTGACTTTCTGTAATGTCTGGAGATTCCCAGAAAGGTAGATCGGGATGATCTGCAGAAGCACTTTTCCTTCTGCCCTTTACTGGAACATTCTCCATTTTAGATGTCCTTATCATTCCGCTCCCCACCCCCCCATCTCCTGCAAAACAGCCTAATAAGTCCTTGGAGTCTCACTCCCTAAACCCAGATGGTGGTCACTGGCTACATATGTACTTAAAATATGGCTGGTCCAAATTGAGATCTGCCACACAAGGGGTGGCACAAAAGGTTAGGTGTCAGCACTATGAAGCTGTAGGCAGCCACTGAAGCATGAGTTCGATCCCCGACTGGGGAGATGACCCACATGGCGCAGCAGACCTCTCCTATCTGGCCTGCTGCTCCCCTCAGCAGTGTATTTCAGTGGATCTACCTGTTCTGTTTCCCACTGACTCCGGTGAATCCTCTCACCCTCCCACATACCTCTGGCCTGTACCCCAGTTCTTGTATGCATAAATAAATAAATCTTTAAAAAAAAAAAGAATGCAGAGTGGACTATTATCTTTATAATCAAGGATATACAGTTAAACCAGCTCTCAGGAAAACAAATCTGAATTATAACATTTGAAGATGTCATTGATATTAATGATCCCACCAAAGCTAATTTCAAGATACCAAGTTCAACAACTGCTTCCAAAATTCCTGAATACACTTGATAGTTTGTTCTCAGAAGCCAGGGAGAACTAGCTGGCTTATGCACACCATTGCTTCTTCCAAGGGAAGAAGAGAAGAACCTTTGCAGAGATGAGGTACTTATAAGAAAAAGGGATTTTTTTGGTCCCCTTTGAATTTTAGATTTTATTAAGTAAAAGTCTAAGTCTCTTATAATCTCAGAAGTCTTTCTTCTTATCCCAAGAGCTAAGGGAGATGCAGGAAAAAGCTCTGGTGACCTCAGGATAGCACGCTTAATTCTTGAGATACCGTGGCAAATGCCACCATCCATTTATCCAAAATCTTTCAGCAACACACATATGGCCCAAGTTAAAGCTCCTCTTTCTACCTAAGGAATTTTGTTTAATGTTATTATCAAAATACCAATTCAAAGAAAATTCTACCTTCATGAACATCTGTTGTCTCTGATTAGAAACCACTCAGAATCAAGCCATTTTCCATCTTGCCTCAATATTAACTGCAGACACTATGGCCAAGTTCTTCCAAATAACTTATAATAACATGGGATGTTGCTTTAAATGTAGATGCAGATGAGAATTCACCATAGCAACTTGGAATGCCAGGAAGTGAGATGCATATTGCAAACATGGAGGCAGCTGTTCAGTCCTGATGCTCAGAGAAATGGGACTGAGAGGAGACACATCCACAAAGGCACACCTTGAAGATGCTGAGGACTCTGTTCCAGACCACCACGTACAGCAAATATCGCAATAAAGTGAGTTACACAAATTTTTGGTTTCCCAGTACATATAAAACTTATTTGCATATAGAACCACTACATTGTGTATTAAGTGCTTGATAGCATTGTGTTTAAAAGTATTTTATTGCTAAATGATGTTAACCATCATCTAAGCATTCAGCAAATTGTAATTCTTTTGCTAATGGAGAGTTTTGTAAAATCTGTCATATCTGCAAAGAACAATAAAGTAAAGCTCAATAAAACGAGGTATGCCTGCACAGATCAGACATGCATATAGATGGAGATATTACCAGAAGGAGTTAACTCACATGTCAGTGGAGACTGCTCAAGGTTTGTATCTGGCAAGCTGGAGGCCCAGAGAACTGAGGGTATGGGTCGGGTCTGAGTCCAGTGGCCTGTGACTCAGGAAGGCAGACTAACTTCCAGTCTGAAGCCAAGGGCCTGAGAACCTGGAGAACGGATGGTGTAAGTTCCAATCCAAATCTGTATCCGAAGGAAGGGGACTAACATCTCAGCTCAAAGACAGCTGAGCAGAGAGCGGTAATTCTTTCCTACTCAGCTTTTTATTCCATCCAGGCCTTCAACAGATCAGATGAGGCCCATACACTGTTTGGGCAGGCAAGCTGTTTGACTCAGTCCACTGATTTAAATGCTAATCTCTCCAGACACACCTTCATAGACACACCCAAAATGGTGCTTAACCACCCTATGGCCCCCTCAAGTTGACACATTCACCACCACAGCAGGGGTCTCCCTACATCCCCAGTGCCCAGCAGTAGCCTGGCAGTCTGAGACCTACTACCAGGCATTGTATAACAGAATTTCTATAGAAACTATTCCCAAATTCAAAACCCCTGGCTTGTTCATGTCTGGATCCCAAGTGAGTGGACAGATCCTAGGTTGTGTCACTGAACGTCAGAACTTTGAGGTGAGGGGGATCTTTTTGAGCTAAAAGGGATCAAAAACACCTCTTGGTTGAGCCCAAGGGTTGGCATAATTAAATGATTTAGAACTCAGTCATTTGGCAGCAACTTCGAGCCACAGTTAGTGAGGAATGATTAAAGAATATTCATAGATCCAACTACAACATCTGGCATGGAGAAGGCGTTTAATGCATATTTGCTGGACAGATGATTGAATGAACAAAACAGAGAACATCTCAGTAGAGGCTGATTAATAGCAAAATGATAACAATTACAGCTTTCCAACTCATCTAGTCCCCATTACAACTCCAAGATGTTTTATCCCCATTTTACAGATGAACAAACCAAGTTCAGACCTTTGTTCCCAGTCGCATACCTGGAAGAAGCAGAGTTAAGACTGAACTCAAGATGGCCAAGGCCTAATTTTTTAGATCTTTTATCATTTGGTGTTTGGAAGGGATGAGAGGGAAGGAGCAAGCCTTGGAATGGGCTCAACAGGACCTCACCTCTCTCTTTCTAAGACTGGGAAACTGCTGGTATGTAAGTTAAAGTGTGTGTTCTGGGGACAGGAAACTTAGCCTCAAATCCATTGCTTTCAAACTCTGTGACCTTGGGCAGGTGACTTAGCCCTTCTGAGATCCAGTAAGATGCAGATGACAGTAAATTGTGGAAGGATGGGATGACATAATAGGAACAAAGCTCTTATCTCAGTGCTTAGGACCTGGTGGGATGACAATAAATGGTAACAAACTTATAAACAACAGCACACAGAATAGCAGCTATAACTCCTGGTACCAGTGAGGGAGGCGGAGACAGCTTTCAGGAAGAAGTGGCTTCTAACATGGGTTCTGAGACAGGAAGCTCCATCAAAGTCAGAGCAGAGAATATCCCCCAAATTGGGGAGGGGTGGGGAGCTGGACACTAGCTATGAAGAAGCACAGGTGTCTAACCTTGATGCCTACCCTTCCCTAGCCCACGTGGCAGACAGGACAGGAGAAGCACCCTGGGCAGGTAGATAGAAGAGGCAGCTTGCCAGCTCATACCCAGCAGCCGGAACCTGACAGCCTTTTTCCGGCAAGTCTGAGGCCACAGCCCAGGTGACTTCACTCCGGGATGTCAGCTATTACACACTTCCCTCAAATCACCACAGACTGAATTCCTAGCCACATCCTCCCGACCTGTCCTTTAAGGCAGAGGCGCTGTTTGAAGGGACCAATCAGAGGCTGCATCTTAAATGCCATTCCCCATTGAGGCAGCCTCCTCCCGTCCCCCTGAGGCCCCAGCACACCCAGACAGAAGTGCTTGTGTTTGAAAGGTTAGGTTTGCCTGGGGCAGTTAGGCCAAAACCCAAATTTAGAGAACAATTTGCCGCTGGTAACGAGCCATCTCTCAGAAATGCACTGACCAGGCCAGCCGTCACCCCTGCTTCTGCGTTGCTCTACCTGGACTGGATGACCTTGAGGGCCCATGATTTGGAGTTTAGTGACAGTTTCTGTGACTCTAGGAGGGCCCCGTCCAGCGGGGCAAGAAGCCAGAGAAGCAAAAAGCCAAGAGGAGGGAGATTGAGTCTCTCGCTCCTTTCTCCCTCTTCACCAACAGAAGGTCCACATCCCCATTTGGCTTCTCAGACTTGGCTTCTCAGAGTGTGGTCTTGGGACCGACAGCAGCAACATCACATGGGAACCCTTGGAATCTCAGCCCCCCACCCCAGATTTACAGACTCAAAATCTACATTTCAGTTTCCAGGACCAGCCGCCTCCCTCCCCAGCGGATGTCCTGACTTGGTTGCCAGCTAAGGCAGCCAGCAGGGGAAGGACAGGGCGCTCTGGCCTCTGCTCGTCCCCTGTAGGGGCCCTGAGATACCTAAAAACGCTGGTGCAATGAGCAGAGCCGGGGGGAGGGTAAAAGCCAGCGCAAGGAACCAGGAGGCCGCTTCCTCTGGAGGTCTGTGGCAGTTGAGCCTAAAGGTGGTGTCACCACAGGCTTTCCTGCCAAGCCTGAAGAGAGCACACACAGGCCCATCGTAAAACCCATCACTGCCCCGTCCCTGAGGCCTGAGGCACCAGAGAGAAACTAAACTAGACATAAGCTGACAGCAGTAAATATTCTAGCAGACCCTCAGGGCAGGAGAGACCCCGCCTACCCTCTGCCCTCGAGCACCAAAAGACTCCGGCAGTAGCCTGCCCCTATAAAGACCCTCGCTCCCATGTTGGGGCGTGACTCTTGGCCTGCAGAGAGCCATAGCCTCAATAAAGCCCACTTTTGCCTGATACTCTTGGCCTCCTTTCTTTTCTAACAAGACCAGTTGCAAAGCAAATGCTGTGACAGAGTTGACAGCTGAGGCCAGAAGGCAGCTTCCGCAGCACCTCGGTCATGAGGAGAGGGTGCCTGCACGGGTCTCGGAACTCCTTGATGTGGTTTTGGCTAAGGATGGCAAATTTCGTGAAAAAGCAGGGAAGCTTTTGAGCTCCACCATTCCAGGGGCCATCCTGGAGAAAACACAAAAGCAAGTGGTCAAGCCGCTCATTGTCCTTCTCTAAGTAATAAAATATTTGGGGGTTAATTTCCAAGTGTTGAAGAAAGGCGTTGACCGCATCAGTCACTGGGCACCCTCTTCTTCCAGGACAGGCATTTGCAGGAGAGAAAGAGGTGCGACCAGAGGCTGAAACTCCCTAATAAATTACTCCTTGTTCACGCAGAAGGAATGACCAGGGAGCCTCCAACATCTCCCACCCGCTAGAGATGCCCCCCACACCCCCATGACACCTGTGCACCCCTCATTATGGACACTTGCCTTCTCTCACCTCACCATCTCTACTCCATGCCTCCTCAAGGAACTGGGCACCCATCTTAAGGCATGGGGAGAAATCCACCCACCTCAGCTCCCTACCTGCCCCAGAGTTGGAGAGAGCTTTGTCCCAAATATTTCCTAAGGCTCTGACCAAATTGTGACTTCATCCTACAGAAAGTTGAAAGCACCCCTAGCTCTTAGAGGGTTTCAAAGACTGATAATTAAAGAAGGGCCATTCCCTAAGTACACAGAAGCATTTGCTAAGCCTAATTCCCAACTAAAAACAAATCCAAAATGAACGCTAACATCTCCCCAATAAGGGACCCTAAACAAGGCTGATGCTTTGACAGAACACAGAACCTTGGATGTGAGAAGCTGTGGTGATGGCCTCCTAATTGCTCATTCAATGTTCTATTGAAAGCAAATTCACATCCACTCTTGCCTAATTCAAATCTCTCTTTCACACAACTTCAGAGTGATATTTTATAAAGCCAGATTCTGCAGTAACCTTCCAGCTAAAGCCTTAGGACACAGAACCTGCATGACATTGTACCGCTCAAGGATTTAAACTTACTGAAAAGCCAATAAACAGAAGTGGATTTGTCCTTGTACTTTGTAAATTAATTAATCAATTAATTGATCAATTAATTAATTGGTTAACTAATAAAAATCCAAGTCTGATTATGTCCTTCTCCTGCCTAAAACCTTTCAAAGGCTCCCATCACACTTAGGATAAAATCCTAGTCCCCATGTATGAATTGTGAGGGTCTCCATGATGAGTGCCTCTCTCCTCCTTACCAGCACCACCCTGTAGGTCTGGGGAAGAGGGGGCCCCACAATTTAGATGGTCCACATATCACAAACACACAGAAAAAAAAATACATCTATTAAAGTACACGAAGGCAACCCTGAAGATCACTTGAGATCTGACATTCAGCACCAGCCCCGGGGGAGCTATACCTGAGAAACATCCACCCTGGTGAATAATATCATTCCAGCCCCAGAGAAAAGCTTCTGCTCTGTGACTTTAAAATAAAAGGCAACTGCATTCAAATGCCAAGAAGGATTGTCTAGGGGGCCCCTGCTGATTTGGGGAAACAAACATTGCCTTTGAAGGCAGAAATTTCAGCCCGGAAAACACTTAGGCAAAAGAAAATACAAATTAATTAACTTGTCAGTCCTTCCACTCAGATAACACAAATGCAATATATTCTTACAAAATGAAGCATTGTTTCCTCGTAATGCAAGTGACTGTTCTCTTGCTTCCCTTCATGTTTCAATTCCTGGGTCCAGAGGTAGTC